TGCAAATGTGGAATTTTAGATTGTCCTTGCACTGTCACAATACTCAGCATCTTAGCACACATAGGGACCTTCTAATCAAACAGCTTCAGCTAAAAACAAAACAGAAAAGTAAACAAAAAATTAAAACTTTTTTAAAATTAAAAATAAGCCAGGCATAGTGGCTCAAGCCTGTAATTTCAACATTTTGGATGGCCGAGGCAGGAGGATCGCTTGAGCTGAGGAGTTAGAGACCAGCCTGGGCAACATAGCAAGACCCTGTCTCTATAAAAAAGTACAAAATTAGCTGGGTGTGGTAGCATGTGTCTGTAGATTCAGCTACCCAGGAAGGTGAGGTGGGAAGATGTCTTGAGCCTGGGAGGTTGACACTGCAGTAAGCCATGTTCACACTACTCCAGTCCGGACAACAGAGGGAGACCCTGACTCAAAATAAATAAATTAATGAAATTAAATTAAATAGGCTGGATGTGGTGGCTCATGCCTGTAATCCCACACTATGGGAGGTAGAAGCGGGAGGATCACTTGAGTACAGGAGTTTAAAACCAGCCTGGGCAACATACTGAGACCATCTCTAGCAGAAATTTAAAAATTAGCTGGGTGTTTGGCACGTATATGTGGCCCCAGGTACTCGGGAGGCTGAGGTGGAAGGATAGCTTGAGCCCAGGACTTAAAGGCTACAGTGAGCCATGTTCACTTCACTGCACTCCAGCCTGGGTGACACGGTGAGACCCTGTCTCAAAAAGATAAAAAATTTAAAACAAACAAACAAACAACAGCTTCAGGTAATCTTGACCATTCTACAGCATTTATGGTGCTATCCATGGTGTCTGGGAACATGATGAGAGGAAGAGCATGCCATTCATTATAATGCTGCTGGAAATCCTTCTAGGTCTAATTGACATACCCTACTTCACAAATGTGCAATTGCTTATGAGTGATGTACGATCACCCACAAGCACCTATGGCTGACATACAATATAAATATCCACTGGCAAGTCAAGACTGGCAATATTTTCAAAATCAGAAGCAATCAGATATCATAATTTCCTTCAATTCTTTCAAAAGCAAGGCAGGCTGACCCACAAACAAATCAACATACTACTCTGCAAATAAACCAAAAACCATTGAATAGTACACTTTAATTTGTTGAATTATATGGTATGAGACTCATATCTCAATAAAGCTGTTATTTTTAAAAATCAACAAAACATGTTTTAACCAAAATATTAGTTTCCAGAAATGGTATCCCAAGAACCTAGCTATTGCCCTTAAAATGCTTATACTGCTGGAAAAATTTACAAATAGAAGTCTTGTTAAAGTGCTGTGACAAAACCATTAACATTCTGGCTGAAAAGAAGAAACTGAACAGTCTCTTCCCCTTCACTATAACAGGAGCTGATCTGTATCACACATCACAATCTGTCTTTAAGATCTGAATGACATTTTTTTCAAATGGCATTTTTCAGATTTAACTACAGTGTTGAATACCATAAGTATGGCATGTCACTAATACATCTTTCTTTATAATCTGCCCTAGAACCTCCTTCCTATAACCCTCTGCAAGGGAAAGATCCTTGTGCTTATCCACTGATACTACTTCTAATGGTTTTCCTATTCCTCTAGTAATTACAATCCTAGTTTTTATTTCTGGAATTAGCTCAACCTTCCCCATGTCTCAACCCATTCTCTAAATTCTACTAATAAATATCACACCAGCTGTCTGCCTGCTGTTGATGTAACAGCAGGTTATTTATGCCCTTATAGATTCAAAGTGGGTCAAGAATGTAAGAAGCAAACTATAAGCCTGTTGAGGGAAAGGACTGTATCTTGTTCACTGTTAGATCCTCTCAACATTAAGCAAAGTACCTGATACAGGATGCCCGATAAGCATTTCTGCTTGCCATTAAGCTAAGGACCATTCGCAAAAAGAATCAGCCAACAAATAATCAAGTGACCAGACTATTATTAATTAGGCATAGTGTATTTAGGAGAAGGTAGTATAAGCCTCAATCCATTTCAGTCTTAATCTCTAAGCCAGTCTGTCTTTATAACGACAAAGAGGTTAAAAAAAAATTTTTTTGAGACACAGTCTTACTCTGTTGCCCAAGATGGAGCGTAGTGGCACAGTCACGGCTCACTGCAGCCTCAACCTCCCAGGCTCAAGTGATCCTCCTGCCTCAGCTGATCTTCTTGCCTCAGCTCTAGGTAGCTAGGACCACAGGGGTGACTACCACGCCCAGCTGGTTTTTGAATTTTTTTTTTTTTTTTTTTGAGACAGGCGCTCTTATCACCCAGGCTGGAGTGCAATGCGTGATCTCGGTTCACTGCAACCTCCGCCTCCCAGGTTCAAGAGACTCTCCTGCCTCAGCCTCCTGAGTGGCTGGGACTACAGGTATGCGCCATCACGCCTGGCTGATTTTGTATTTTTAGTAGAGACAGGTTTTCGCCATGTTGGTCAAGATGGTCTCAAACTCCTGACCTCAGGTGATCCACCAGCCTCAGCCTCCCAAAGTGTTGGGATTACAGGCATGAACCATCGTGCCCAGCCTAATTTTTTAATTTTTTGTAAATACAAGGTCTATGTTCCTCAGGCTGGTAAAAGGTAAATTTTAAAACAGATTGTGATAAAGCTGTGACAGAAGCCCAAAACTTTACCATTTAAAAATCACATCTTGCCGGGCGCGGTGGCTCAAGCCTGTAATCCCAGCACTTTGGGAGGACGAGGCGGGTGGATCACAAGGTCAAGAGATCGAGACCATCCTGGTCAACATGGTGAAACCCCGTCTCTACTAAAAATACAAAAAATTAGCTGGGCATGGTGGCACGTGCCTGTAATCCCAGCTACTCAGGAGGCTGAGGCAGGAGAATTGCCTGAACCCAGGAGACGGAGGTTGCTGTGAGCCGAGATCGCGCCATTGCACTCCAGCCTGGGTAACAAGAGCGAAACTCCGTCTCAAAAAAAAAAAAAAAAAAAATCACATCTTTTCAATTTTTTCTCCCAAGTTATCTTGGGGGAAAAAAGCATTCAAAACCCAACAACATTTATTACACAGTCTTTAGTTAAGCAGTCTCATACTAAGTAGCTGAAAGATGATGGCTCACCATAAGAATTGGGGTGTGTCCAATCTTTTGGCTTCCCTGGGCCACACTGGAAGAAGAATTGTCTTTGGCCACACATAAAATACACTAACTATAGCTGATGAGCTTTAAAAAAAATGCAAAAAAATAAATCTCATAATGTTTTAAGAAAGTTTTCGAATTTGTGTTGGGCCACATTCAAAGCCATCCTGGGCCCGCATGTGGCCCATGGGCTGCGGTTTGGACAAGCTTGATATAGAAAAAGTGGAGGGGAGGGGCTACACAAAGTAACCAATGAGTGTTTACAGACTGTTAACTCTTCATGTGAAAATGATTTTGATATTTCTTAGTATCTACCTCATAAGTTCCTTATGAGGACTATGAGTTCATATTTTTAAAACACTTAAAACAGTACCTGGCACATAGTAAGCACTATATTAAGTGTTAGGTTACTTTTAATCAATTTCCAGCTGCATTCATTCATATGTTAGAAATATACAACACCTAAAGAAATTACTAGATTTAGAGAGAAGTTCCAATTGTACAGTCCTTAAATCTAACTAGAAACAAAGAGGTCTCAGAGAATGTTTGATGCAAGCTCCTCATTTCATGTTTGAAGAGATTAATCATATATCTCATATTTGTAGAGAAATTCATAGGTTACAAAAAGCTTTCACAACTATTATTAAATTTGATCCTCACAACAGCTTGTAAGAGATGCAAGGCAAATATAATTAACTCCATTTACACAAGAGGAAGTCGAACCAGAGATGTTAAGTGACTTGTCCAAGGTCACAGTAAATGAAAAGGTTTCAGCTTGAATCCAGGTTTCTTGATGTCCAGTCGAGACTTCTTTCCTCTATAAAACACACTGTAACTTGGGCTCTGGACTTCAGTCACATTTGGAAACAATGATTTCAGTAATTACAGGACCCTAAATGAAAGTTCTATTGCAAGAGCTAATGTGAAAAGGCAACTCTATTAACTGCACGTAGAAGTAATCCATAGTTGGCAAAACATCTACCTAAAAATGAGTGTATAGCATAAAATGCCATGATTACATATATTCACAAAGGACACCACAAATCTGCACAGCACTCAAGTGACAGTCCTCCATAATAGGCCATTCAGAGATTACCAGACCCTGAGAATATTGGTGTCAGTCTAAGAAAGAAAAGACTGCCACTTCCCTTAAACCAAACCCAGAAGGGAAAGGCTTGCCCCAGAGGATGGTGAAGACATGGAGCCTAACAAGGCTCTGCGGGATTACACGCAGGTTGCAAACTCCCAGCGACAACTGAGTATCGACCCTCCCAGGAGGTGAATCAGCTCTCGTTCATCTGGCAGCATCTTCCTCCAGGGCTCGCCACCCCCAGCGCAGCTAAACCGGGGAGCTAAAGGTGAATGAAAATCGACGGCCACCATTTGTAGGATTCAAGATAACCTCACAGAAAGGCTGGCTGGCGGTAGAAGCGGCACCGTATACCAACACAGGACGTTATTTTAAGCGCATGTCCCCACGAGAGAAACCATGGGTTCTACTGGAGCAAGCATCTCCCACCCGCAGGGAATTTTTCAAAGCCAAGCAGGAGGGCAGGCAAGCCCAGCCCAGGCCCTCCCTGCTAAATCCACATGGGCCCCCTTTCCACTTGAAAGCCCGCTCTGCCCCCAGCTCGAGCAGCGCGGCAGAGGGCCTGGGAGACCCCCGAGACTGGCCTCGCTCTGCCGCCTTAACCATCTTGCAGGAAAGAGGAAGGTGCCGCAGCGGGCGACCGGGGGGTAGGGCCGAGGGTTCAGAGGCGCTGAAAGGGGTGGCGCTGGCGGGGCCCACCCGGGCCCGGCGCTCCCGCCCCTTCCCCAGCCTGACAGCTGTCGGCGAGGGCAGCGCTGCCCAAGTCCTCGACGCCGGCCGCGGGGTGCCTTACCTTTGTGTAGAGCTCGGACGCGGCCATGGCTGGCTCCGCGCGCCTACGCCCCCCGCCTGAGCGGAGGCCGCACCACGCCTGGGCGGCAGCCCGCACGGACTAGGAAGCGCCTGCAGCCGCTGGCAGGGAAACGGGCAGGGCGGGCCGCGCAGGGCGGGGCGGGGTGGGGCGCCTCAGGCGCTGGCGGCCAGCAGGGGCCTCGCCATCACTCTCGGGCTCGCCGCGAGCAGCCGCGAGAGCTCCGCCTGTCCGGGGTCCTGGGGGTCGCCGCCGCCGCCGCCGCAGCCACTTCGGCGGCCCGCGATGCTGCCGCCGCCGCTGCCGCCGCCGCCGCCGCCCTGTGCATTGTGGGAGCGGGAGGAGGCTGCGCTCCAGCGCTGCCACGGCGGCTGCTCCGGGCTCTCTCGGGCTCACGCTGCCTCCCATCGGCTGCGGGCACAGAGCATCATCATCAGCCGGCCAGCCGGCGCCGCCACCTCCTCCCGCGCTGCCGAGGCTCCGAAAATCGCCCGGGCCCCGGGCCCCGAGGGAGCGGCACACCACAGGCGCCCCCACCCCGAAGCGAGCCCGGAACTGTGCGACTAAGCCCAGCTCCCGGGGAGGGCAGTCATAGCAGGGGTTGTCACTGTGTCCGGATAAACGATGAGAGCCTTCAGGCTGCTCCTCCCTTCCTTCCAAGCATTCCTAGGGAGAGGATTTAGAAGAAACCCTCTTGACAGACTGTAGAATAACCCGAACTGCAGAAGAGCCTAGTCAGCAGCAGTGACTCTGGAGCTGGGCAGTGCAGGACCAGGAATTTGAGGTTAAGGATGATCACCAAGGTCACTCCGAGCACCTCGAGGTCTGCAGCAAAGACGTCAAATGATGCTAGAGGGAAAGGGCCACTTCAAGCTGCAGAAACTTAAGTGACTTTGAAAAGATAGCCCCAGGGGACAGCCCAGGTGCCTCTTTCTTATACCTGTGCGTTTGCAGAGATGGAAGTACCCTACTGTCCCAGCCTTCTTTCCTGTCCTGTTCTCTCCTGGTGATTTTTGGCTCCATCGTGGCACCTGAAGTTGATCCGGATGCCACCTGAAAATGAGAGAGGACTTATATGGAAAATCTGTATCTACAGTTTGACTCAGCATCGAAGGTCAAAGCCTCCCTCACTCTCCTCACAGTGATCCTTACACATTGAGCAGAAGAATGGGGTCTTTCTACTCCCAACCATGTGCTATCTTCACCCTCTGTCTTCTCCCCACCCTCATTTTCGTTTCTGGTTGAATAATCTTCATATATATATATATTTTATCCCTGCCTCTTTGTAGTGCCCTCATCTCTCATTTCTTTGAACTAAAACTAGTCCCCGGTGCCTGTCATGGTCATCTGGGAGACCGTTTCTATCAAGAGCAACTCTCATGGCTGGGGACCCCGGTTGTGTGTGTTGTGTGCGTATTTGGGGAAAGATCATTCACTGAAAGGAACAGGGGGCTAGTCCTCACTCGCTGAACTCAGACCTCTCCTCTTGGCCCACCATCCCCACAGAAATACTAGAGGGAATAGCTACAGAGTTGAAAGCCCTGCAGATTTGTCTCTCTTCCTTCCCATTCTAAAACCAAAGCACTTTCATGTTTCTGGGTCCCACCCCATCTTCACCAAGACAAAAAAAGAGAAAACTTGGGCAGTGATGAGCTGCGGAACAGGAGTACTGGACTGAGATTTAGGAGGCCTGGCTCCTACGCCTTGCAGTTTCTTCATACCGTGTGCAAGGTGGTAACCACTTTGCCTGCTTTCTCACCTTCAGATAATACCTACCTCTCAGGACTGTCTAGAAATGCTGACTATACGGAGGAAAAAAACAAAAAAACTAAAAAACTGAAACAGTTCTAGTAGGTGTGAATGCTTTTTTCTTTTTCTTTTTTTTTCAAGTGACAAGCAGAAAAAAAAAAAAAAAAAAAAAAGGGAATTATCCTCTCATAATTCCAGACCACATGCATTCAACCACTCAAATATCTGGCACCATACTAAGAGGAAGGTAATGGAGATGAGGAGGAGAATAGTTTTGTATTTTTATTTTTTTAAGACCGAGTCTTGCTCTGTCACCCAGTCTGGAGTGCGGTGGCATAATCTCGGCTCATTGCAACCTCCAACTCCCACTCCCGGGTTCAAGTGATTTCTGGTGGCTCAGCCTCCCAAGTAGATGGGATTACAGGTGCCTGCCACCACACCCAGCTAATATTTGTATTTTTAGTAGAGATGGGTTTTCACCATGTTGGCCAGGCTGGTTTCAAACTCTTTACCTCTATCCATCCACCTCCGCCTCCCAAAGTGCTGGGATTATAGGCATGAGCCACTGCACCTGGCTGGGTTTTGTATTCTTGACCTTACCTTACTTTGTTCAGAAAAAAAGCAGAATAAAAAGCCAGAAGCAGCAAAGGGAAGCCCTGAGGGGTGGCGTCCCCTAACTTCCATGTATACATTCACAGTCCCAAGCACTCTGCCACTAGTGAGATGTAGAAATCAGCAATAGGTACAGCTTCCAAGGGTTTAGGATCCTCCTCTTAAAGAGTAGCCACAGGGCAGTATACTTTATTTTAAGCTAATAAAGTTCTCCATTATGGCTTTATTATTGGGAACATTTTTTATAGGTTGTTTTCAAATGAAAACAATGTCTAGATTTATGTGAAAAATTCCATTCCTCATTTTTGACAAATAGCGAGAGCTATCACATACCAGACTTGTTCTACATGTTGAGAATTCATGCATGAGCAAAACAGAGGAAGAGCCCTGACCCCATGGAGCTTCCATTCTAGTCAGGGAGAAAGGCAATTATAGAGTTAGAAGGTAAAGGTGGTAAGTGGTATATTAGTTCCCTAGGGCTGCCATGATAAAGTAATACAAACTGTGCTTAACCAATGGAAAGGTATTATCTCACAGTTCTGGAGGCTAAAAGTCTGATGTCAAGGGGTCTGAAGGGTTGGTTCCTTCTGAGGACTGTGAGGGATAATGTGTTCCATGCCTCTTGCCTGCCTTCTGATAGTTTGTGGACAATCTTTGGCATTTGACATCTTTTAGCTTCCATTACATCCCCCAATCTTTGCCCTCATCTTCATGTGGCAGGCTCCCTGTGTGTGTGTGCATGTCTCTATGTCCAAATTTCCCCTTTTTATAAGGACACAATCATATTGAATTAGGGCCCAACCCACAGCCCTCATTCTAACTTGATCATCTGCAAAGATGATGTTTCCAAATAAGGTCACGGTAACAGGGATGGTGGGGTGGGTAAAGGTCAGAACTTCAACATTTTTGAGGGATACAACTCAAACCATAACAGTGTGCAATAAGAAAAACCGTACAGAGAAGAGAGGATCTGGGGAAAGAAGCAATTTGAATTAGGGTAGTCATTGATAAATTCCAATTGAATTTTTTTAATTGAGGGCTTATCATATGCCAGCACTTAAAATAATGAAGCTATAGAAATGAGTGAAACATGGTCACTGGCCTGGAGGAGCTCACTGCAAGGGGTGGCTGGAGGGGTAGCGGAAGAGGCAGTCCATGCTGCATGATCATACAAAATAGTAACTCTAATTCTGTAAGATTGGCCCAATTCTAGAAGTAGAAGCACAGTACTCTGTTGCTGGTTATATATAGTACATCAGTGAGATCGACGTATCCTAATATTTAATGCTTCAGAGGACAAGGAATTGCACATAGGTGACATTTAAGTCAGTGAGAAAGAACTCCAAATAGTTCATTGAGAGATCTAAGGGGTGATACGGATGGGAAGTCATTTATGGTTGAAGGACATATGGAGAAACAACATGAGGAAGCGAAGATCTGGAACAGAAAAAAGTCAAGAATACAGTAAGGCTGACAGAAAAGACTTTTGAAAGATGGGAGGCAAGTATCAGGAAGTGCTTGGCTTCCCACCTCTTCCCTTCCCCAGCTCCAGCTAGTTATCCTAGCTCCTCCCTCACCTGTGAGCTTAGGCAACCCTGTGTAAGGAGGATAAAAAAGTGCTGTACTTAAATCCAGAGGTACAATACTTAATTCAATATCAAATAGATAATATATGTGAAATTTTTATGTACGAAGTATATTGTAAATGTAAATCATTTATTTATTTATTTTTATTTATTTATTTTTTTTTTATTTTTTTTTGAGACGGAGTCTCGCTCTTGTTACCCAGGCTGGAGTGCAATGGCGCGATCTCGGCTCACCGCAACCTCTGCCTCCTGGGTTCAGGCAATTCTCCTGCCTCAGCCTCCTGAGTAGCTGGGATTACAGGCACGCACCACCATGCCCAGCTAATTTTTTGTAGTTTTAGTAGAGACGGGGTTTCACTATGTTGGCCAGGATGGTCTCGATCTCTTGACCTTGTGATCCACCCGCCTCGGCCTCCCAAAGTGCTGGGATTACAGGCTTGAGCCACCGCGCCCGGCCTATTTTTTTTATTTTTTAAGACAGAGTCTCACTGTCGCCCAGGCTGGAGTGCAGTGGTACAATCTCGGCTCACTACAACCTCTACCTCCCGAGTTCAATCAATTCTCCTGTCTCAGCCTAGTGAATAGCTGGGATTATAGGGACATGCCACCACACACAGCTAGTTTTTGTATTTTATGCTTCAGAGGACTAGGTACTGGGCATAGGTGACATTTAAGTCAGTAAGAAAGAATGCCAAATAGTTACTGAGAGATCCAAGTGGTGATACGGATGGGAAGTCGTTTATGGTTGAAGGACATATGGAGGAACAGCATGAGGAAACAAAGCTATGGAACAGAAAAAAGTCAAGTAAGGCTAACTGAAAAGACTTGAAAGATGGGAGGATTTCACCATGTAGAAACAGGGTTTCACCATGTTAGCTAGGCTGGTCTCGATCTGACCTCAAGTGATCCACCTGCCTCGTCCTCCCAAAGTGTAGAAATTGCAGGCGTGAGCCACCGTGCCTGGCCTATTACTATTATTTTTATTTCCAATACCTATTACTATAATTCTAGATTCTAATCTCCTGTGTCCTAACATATCTGTCTGATCTCTGTTCTTTTGTCTCCCAGTCTTCTAGCCTGTGTCCTGACCCCCTACCATTTGACCAGCTTCTGTATCTCTACGCTTAGCTCCATGGCACCTGATTGCTTCAAACAGTTGATTTTTTTGGATCTTTGAATACTTCCAGCCCAATTCCATAGGCTTCATATTGCCTTGATCTTCCTAAATGGCATCATGTGCTTACCAAATCTTCTCATCCTGTACTTCCAACACCCACAGACACACACTTCC